ATGTAAATATGGGCTATGTGAAACGCAAATTTGAAATTGTATTTCGGTGAATGCAGAAAATGTTAATATGGGCTATGTGAAACGCAAATTTGTTTTTCGTTTTTAAAAATGTAGTCTACAAATAAATTTTCCAAAATACGATTACATTAGAAGCATGAGACGCAAACTCATTTTTGAAGCGTCGTCCGTTAGTTATTACTAACCATGCGATTATGAGGGGTGTTAAGGTGAACGGTATTTTTGTTCTTAATGTACACCCCTGCAACGCCTCTTCGCACTTCTGCCCAACATTGTGAATTGTTGATTGGCCGCACCATTTTCGCAACCAAATGGCGACTATGATGAGTTGCAGGAAGACAGGCTGTCGATTAGAAATCGCGCTTGCCTTGTGCTCTTCGCAACTCCTTGCTTATGCGACATTTTGTTCGCACTTATTAAGCTTGTAAATGGTATATATGGTTTCAAACGCTGCCCGACCCTCATCGAGCTAAGACAGGATAAATCCGTTTATCCATTCTCGAGATATTAGCTAACACAAGCATTTTTTTTAAAATTTCTTTTAAGATTAAATTAAATGAAAACAAAGTAAGACAGTGTTAAACTTGAAATATGTCTCCTTATTGTTCAGTAATCTAAAACCGCACGTTTAAAACAGGATGAAATACGTGACCAGCGAGACCACGCAAAATCTACCTACAAAGATGAGCACACTGAAAATTCTGTGTTTGTACTTTATTTGACTCGTGCAGGTTTCGTTAGATATGGAACCACTACGTCACAAGGATTTTTTCTGACATTAGAAGACAACTAGTAAACCGGGGATTTATGATGAAAATCGCAGACCACAAAGTCCTGCTGTGTATTTAGGCCTACTCCGAACTATTCCTGTCGTATTTTGCAGCGTCCTTTGGACATCTATTAACTTTCTTTTATCTAGAAGTTTATCTAAATTATATTTCCGATTTGATACTTTCGCGGCGAGTACAATCAATAAAATCTTCTTGGGCAATCAGCCGCGTTAACTGGTTACCGTAGTAAATCGACGTTTCGGGATACCGAGGTATCCAGTCACATCAAAACCCTGATGATGGGGACAGAGTTGGTTCTGCTGTTTAAGTAAATAATAGTTTTTATGCTGAGAATACGACGGATCCTGTAAGAAAAATAGTTATTTAATGCTAACGTAGATGGTATATGCAGTTACCGCTGTACTTTAAAGGGCTAAAAGTGTTTGCATTGCGTGGTGTATTACGTTATGATAAATTGATCTTCTGGACTTGTCCATCGTCTAAATATTATATCATTACAACGTTTTGGAAGCGACGTGAAAAAAAAATTAACACATTCTATTTACTCTCGTCGGTCTCCTGGCACTGGAAGGCTATTTATTGGCTTGGTGACGATTATAAAGGCGGGATATCAATGTATGTGCAACTAACTTCATGGAGCAGAACCCGTCTTGAGAAGCGAATATCCGGTTATCTGATCAATAGTCCTCGTCGTAGGATTTGAGGTTTTCATGACTGTGTGTCTGTAGTTGGCTGTCTTCTGGGTTATTGTTCCGTGTAGTCTGGTAGAAGTTTACCAACAGACCCTGTTGATGGCTGCAGGAACCTCTGAAACGTCGGTAAACGTCCACCAGACTACAAGGCGCAACAACCCAGAAGCCAAGCCATCTTCAAGTCTGTTGCTGCTTTACCGGTCCCTGAATCACACAGCTTAAGAACCGCTGCTTTGGATGGCGAGACAGCCGAATATTTTGTTTCTGTAACATTTATATCGGAAGTCCGTCAGTGGAAAGTCTTCTGAGTGTAGAAGCGAACAATCCTGAACATTTTATGTACATTTAGAGTTTATTATACAGCCTTAGTGCGAGGTATAAATTAGATTTAGCGACGACACAGGTGGTCGGATGCGATAAGATTGACGTTGAATCACCAGACGATTATAGAGATGTTAAAGAAATGATTTGTGAGGTTGGAGACCGAATTTATCTTCCATTGTGTCAACACGAGCGCGCGCATGCTCAGTTACCTGGTTATTTTAATGTTTTGAACTTTATTGTAATGATCGCATATCTTATGGTTTCGAAAAACAGCTTTTCTCCCCAAGTCATATATTTTATACCCCACTTCAGTCTTTGTTACCCCCCCCCCCTTCCCCGGTTAGGAGAGGGCTGAGCGTAATTTTGGGATCGTTGCTTATCATTCCAATAGGAATACCAGATCTACAAAGCGAATAACTGAATTGACTAAGATTGTGCGATGTTTTATCCGGAAATAGCGTATATTTGTGTCGTTAAACTCGTAAACATTTGAACTCGGCCTGTATATTGAAGCTAGATTGTGTCCAATTTTCATCACTTATTGCGAATTAAGAAGACGATTTTCAACATAAACTGTTTCAGGTTCGAATTCGCGTGTCTGTCAAAAGCTGATCGTTAGTTCGACGACGTTCCGGATGTTTGAGGAACTATGACGTAGTGATCTTGGTCCATGTTAGTTGTGCTTGATTTGGGACGTCGGTGAGTTGGGATGTACGCGACGTTAATATATAATTACACTAACCGCGTTCAGCGCAGAGTTATATGACCCCTTGACATTTTGTGTGCTTTGGCTTCCTCTGTAAAGAGAGGCAGACAAGCAGCACACCCCCCGAACCCCGCTCCGCGTCTGATGCTGGCTGTACCAAATCGATACTGCTCCATTCCGTGCACGAGAGAAACGAATTCTCTCTCTCTCTCTCTTTTATACCTCCCCAAGTAAACTCTTCAAGCTCCCGTAAGTCAAATTTGAGCAGTTGCCCAATTACGACTATTTTAATACTTAGCTTTTATGTTGTCCTTTGGATTACGGAATACAGCCACGGTTTCAGTAAAAATTCTGTTCTGATTTAGGCGATTTTGATTTTGATTCTGAAGGGAAAAGGACCTAGGCCTCGCCATGTTTGTCTTTGCGCATGCCCCGACCAGACTGCGGGAACGGGTGTCCATGGAACTTCGCGATTAAATCATGATTCTGAATTATACAGAATGACTCGTAAGTTTATCGCCTTTATAAAGAACATTCTTACAGGTAGCGAGCAAGGAAATTGGCCAGTACTGACCCTGAAATAACCTAGGAAGGTTAGAATTTATATGCTCACACACACGAAATGTGTAACTATGGCAGTTTTAATTTTTTCGCCTATGGTGGTGCCAAGCTTGTGAAACAATGCTTTAGTAACACATGAATGTGTTTTAGGCGAGATTAAAATCACTGATGATGAGCTCCTGTTTGATATTTATATTGTTTTTTTTTCTCTTTTATGCAAACTAGTCAAGAAAAACTGAACAAAATATTCTGTTAAAATTTGTAGACACAATCTGGATTTAATATTAAACTCGGTTAAATGTTAGTTCAGATCTTAATTTTGTTCTTAATGGTCTTAACATTTTTTTGGTTTAGTCAGCTTCGACACTTTAAAATAAGATTTGAGAAGTGTAAACACCATTTGTAATCAGCCTGTGTGTAGAACTAAGTTAAATGTGGTTATAACTTAGCGGGATATAATGGATTACTTTGGTACTATTTATGCGTATGGATCTGTGTGTGAAGTGAGAGAAAATGGTAGTGTCATAACGATTTAATCGTATTTTCAGATTATATAAGCTTTTGGCACCGTAATATACAGAATGTTCATAGACTTTATATACAGTACAAAACAGTTACTTTTATTAACACTAGCATTACATTGTCCCTCTGGACAACGCTATTTTTCATTTAACGTTATGTAAACAGTAAACAGCTGTCATAAATCCATGCTACCAACCGAGACAAAAATGACAGAGACGTTTTGAACGTGGAATAAGCAGGGTAGAAGCCCCGTCTAAATTTTTAAACACGTGTGGCCAATGGCACAATAGAATACCTTAACCATTCCTGATCATAGACCGACTTAGTTTGTGCCATTGATGTAATACTGAAGTCTTACTACAGGCGACTTTATATTATCGAAAATCCATTATAATAGCAACAGACGTTCTTAAAGATGGTGGACGCAGTTTTGTGAATATCTAAACTCCTCTTTATGTTCCATGTTGGAGTATTTAGTATCTTTTCGATACAGATTTGAAGAACAGAATTTAGAATTTCCATATTCGTGCTTCGCAACTTTGTATACCGCGTGCTTGCGCTGGTTTCCTCCGTCACTCCCACAGACAACGGATAGTTGCTGTCCACCTGCACTGCGGAAGAACATTAAAACATGGGTGAAAGTGCTCAAAGATTGTCGTCTGATGTTCCTTTTTGATTTGGGGTTTACTGACTAGAGGTTGTCTTGGATGTTTGAACGAAGCTATTTCGCTTGGAATTCAATCTTAGGATTTCACATTAAAAGCTTGGAACCTTTGATGTCGAGTTCACAGTTCCATTTACGGTAGCCGTAACTCATTTGTTGGACTACTCCCGATACAACGCCGATATTTTGAAAGATATTCAGTTTTTAGAGATATGAAAAAGTATTGCACATATTCATGGAGTATTTAAAAATTTAATTACATACACATTGTATTGCTTTTTAAATAGGTTACTGTGAAACGTTGTTACAGTCTACATTAAAATTCGCAGAGTCCGTTGGATGGATTAGTTGAAACCACACAGAAGAATAGATGGGCACGTCGAAGATGCGATACGTTCCGATGGTAACGTGGTAATATTAGTATGTTGAAAGAAGATGGCTGTCTTCTGGGTTATTGCTCCGTGTAGAATGTTAGAAGTTACCGACAGGCGCTGATGAGGGAGGCATCAAGGACCTCTGAAACGTCGGAAAACGTCTACCAGACTACACGGTGCAATAACCCAGAAGACAGCCATCTCCAGACTCACCGCTGTGAAGACCTCAAAACCTACGTATTAGCATATATCAAGAACATGAAAGTTGACATGCAGTTTCCAACATACGGGGTTCCTTAAAATGTAACAACCCAGCTAATTTAAAATCGCCGAAACCTGACTTTGCAGATTTATGCAGACGCGCGTGCGCAGACGGAATCGGAAGATGACATCGGGTCCACGGCGCCTTGCCAACGCAGTCGCTTGAGGACTCTTCCGAATGGGGCGGACAACCGGACCGACACAAATAAAAATGAATGCCGGCGTAGAAGTTGTTGGTTCCGTTTGTGTTTCGAGGACAATCATCTTTCCACAGCGGGCTGCATTGGCTGTTAACTAAGTAATAATATGGTGGATAGTAAGCGAAACGTATTCCTTTAACTTAAAGAGAAAAAATGGTATTCGCTTGAAAACGGATAACAGCTAAACTCTTCCATGCAACTAAGTTTATTTTAAACATGTTGAGCTTTCAGACGTTTTTGATTTAATGCCGTTAGTAATTTATTTCATTTATTTATACCGCAATAATTTTGATATTGTTTTGTTAAGTGACAATGTACCTTTGCCCAGTAGTGGCATTTTAGTCGTACACGTACAAGATTTTATTTGTTATTGAACAGTTTTTTTGCTGTTGTCTGCTCTTAACGCTTGCACACACACACATTCTCAGTATTAGAATTTTTTTTATCCTTCTCGTATTCGATAATTTCCAAATAACGTGACGAGTCTCATAAAACTTTTATTATGGTCACATGCGGTCCTCACGTTTCAGACCTTTGATCTTTTTTCATCACTATTAGGCTGCAGGACATTAAAAACACAAGCGTATCTGTTCAATATAATAATTATTAATTATTTTTTGCCTAATTATCTTTTTATCGATTTTCTTATTAAAACGAAGGAGTTAATTGCTGTCTGTGTGTTTACTTTCCACAAATTTCACCGAAATACATGAACATTCGTTCTGAATATTGTTTTCTTTCTTCTCTGCTGATTCAGTTATCGGAAACTGATTGACAGAACAGCGTAGATTCAGAAGGCCTTGACTTTGCTTAATGAACGCAGTGTGTAGCCTGCGATGTTTTGAAACTCTTGTGTTGGTTGGTGATTTTTTTGAAACCACTGTTTTAATTTATTGTAATCTCTGGGAAAATCTTATAAAAACATGATTACCAACGTTACAGCTTGCTTTTCCCCCCTCATTCTCGAGGGGTAATATTCTGGTGACTAAGCGTGATATCACGTGCCATGATAACTGTAACTCCTGTCAAGTAACTCATTGTAAAACGACACGAACAAGAAGTGGACAGCATCCGAGGATTCATGAAAATGGCTTGTTGTGGAGGTGGAATCAAGCAGTTGAAGCAGGTAATTTGTTCTGTGCTAATACCACATTTACCCTTGTCTACCACGAGATGTTTATTAAGCAAAATTCAGCGTCCATTTCTCACCCCAAGTCTCCTGATTCACTGCTAGATGGCTCTGGCAGTCAAATCGGGATTGAGTAGAAATTGTGCAGAGTCAGTGGGTTGGTCACTCACTACTCATAAATGCACACTTCAAGACCAGGAAACCTCTCAGGAAACCTCTCAGGAAACCAAGACCCGAAAAGGGTTGTAGCGCAACTGACGGTGACCCTTGTCTACCTCGAATCGCCACGTGTCCATCCTCTTGTAGCCTGCTTTAGTTTACTGTCCAAACGATGCACGATGACCAGTATCAATCATGCAAGTAAGTAGTCTGAAGTTTATCGACGTTTCGGAGGTGCTAGCTACCTCCATTACTATAAGGCCGGGCGCAAACGGAGCCACTAGTGGCTAAACACGACCACTAGTGGTCGCCACTTTATGCAGACATTTTCAGTTTCTCTGTATGTAATATTCTGCGTTGCTATCGACACATTCTAATTTCGGTTAAAGTCGGACAACTATAACGGAAACTTTACAAGAAGTCCTTCATGCCCCCGGCTGTGGAATCCTCAGGTGGGGTTCCCTTCGTGATCAATCCTCTGGCGTGGAAGGACGTGTTCGAATCCCCTGGGAAATCCTGCGTGATGACGTCATTAAGCTATTCATTCCGCCCACTCGGGGGGTTAAGGGGTCCAGTCATCGTGACGTCACTGATGCTTTTCCAAGAGGTAAAATGCCAAAATATAAAGAACGCTCAACGATTGTTACGCCATGCGTACATTCCGAGCTTGTTTTGTTATAAAACTGCAATCAGGAAAACTTATTGTCGTATCATTCTGCCATAAAACAAAAATTTTTGTTACGAAAACACTGGCTTGGAAGTATTTATGAGTAATGGGTTATTGTAGGAAATGTGGAGATTTCTTGTTTGATACGAGTGGCTGTAGTATTTTCCACGAGGGTAGTAAAAAAAAAACCTCGATCCCCCTGTTATAAAATGGGCAACGTTCCGCTTACTTGAAGATTGTAGGCAATATAATTGTTATTCATAGTATTAAATGCGAAGCAGGGGTTACGCTGTTATATTGGACACTTTCCTAATTTAGTAGAACCCAGGGAAATATAAAATAAACCAGTTGAATTAAATTGCACGTGAAATAAAACGAAGACTTGAGACTTTACCAGCAGGAAAAAGAAGTCTTAAGTAGCGGATACGTTGTTATTTATCAACAGTAGCTAATTGACTACGTCTTTTGGCATTTTGCTTGGACACGCAACATTTTGTTTGAGAAGGCGTCTACAGTTTTGTTTCATTAAGCCTATTGTTTTTTGTTCTTGTGTTATTATAAAAGAAAAAAGCCTGTACATTGTATGGTCTATCTTAAAAACAGGTTTTATCGCATCGAACACATAAAAGAAGATACAATTATTCCGTTCTTATTTGCCCATATCATTTAACATGTTTTGTCTGTTTACATATTTTGATGTGTTTTTCGGTTTTCACAGAACTTCGTAGATAAAGCTTGCATAGGCCTGGTGTTTGTGAAGAAGCGATATGAGTTTTTGTCTAAAGATTGTTTTCTCTTTAAGAAGCTACCAAGACAGAAAACCAACCGTTCAGTGCTAGAGAAACGTTTTAATTTTAAGAATTGGAATGTGTTTATGGATTGTATGAGTCGTGCAGTGGGTTATTTCGGAGGTTTAATGCTGAAATGGATGCTTCCTCCGAAATGCTGATAACCACCTACAATACTGCACGGTATCAATTCCCAGAAGACCACAATCGGCATCTTCCCCGCCCTGGAAACCTCAGATCTCATTAACAAACTGTTTGGTAGACGAATAGTCGCCTAAGTTTGTTATAGTGTTATCATTTTAATGTCCGACACATGGCTTAGAAGATGCAGACAGATTTATGGTTTGTTTTAAAATGTAAATGAGTTTATAACTTTTTAGCTAAAAAGGGAAAAAAAAGTTTCTACCAATCTCATTTTCGTTCTGAGGGACGCAAACGCGATATTACCACGAAAGATTTTACACTTAAGTATCGCACGATAAGACACTGTCTTTATTAGCAGTATCCACCGGCTTAATTTTGAGAAGATACGGGACATGGAACCAGACCTTCCGACACCTGTGACTAACATGTATACTAGATTAATATACAGTGCTTGATGTCAAATAGTTTTGCTGGAATTTGAACTAGTTTGGCCTTCCGTGTTTACACTGCTGTCCGACCGTGCACGTTGTCCTAAAAACTGTTTCAGACTGACCAAATCCTGTACATTGGTCGGGGTGACATCGTGTGTTCCGCGTCCGCTTAGAATATTCGGCACATTGAACACAGGGGGCGAGAGGGGTAGCGGTAATAAAGTATTTTCTGTCCTCACTGTGAACGTTGTTTGCCAGCGACAATAGTTTGTAGTAGTTAGCCGTCTCAGTACATGTTTTTAGTTTACGTAGTATATATGTTTAATTTTCGTCTACTCGCAGGCTAGTGTAGGCGAAACGCGAATATTTCTTACATATTCACGTTTCTGACTTAGTTGGACACATGTAAGTTGTGGATATATAATTTTTAAACCTCCATTTATTTTCGTTTCGAATTATCCAACACATTCTGTGAGCATGCGCGCAGCAGTCAACTATTCTGCTTTCTTAGAACCCCACCCCACCCCCTGCCTCGAGGAATTGTTTCACCAGGTGAGCCTTCAGTGTGACAAATGGTCTTTACCATAGAAACTGATATCTGTTTGGTCTCCTTGGAATCGTCAGTCACTTTTACTGTACACTCCACATGGCAATGACGGAGGCAGTATGACCTCTGAAACGTTGATTAACATCGACCAGACTACACAGCGCAATTACCCAGAAGACAGAAATCTTCATCGCCCTGATGATGGAGGCAGTATGACCTCTGAAACGTTGATTAACATCGACCAGACTACACAGCGCAATTACCCAGAAGACAGAAATCTTCATCGCCCTGATGATGGAGGCAGTATGACCTCTGAAACGTTGATTAACATCGACCAGACTACACAGCGCAATTACCCAGAAGACAGAAATCTTCATCGCCCTGATGATGGAGGCAGTATGACCTCTGAAACGTTGATTAACATCGACCAGACTACACAGCGCAATTACCCAGAAGACAGAAATCTTCATCGCCCTGATGATGGAGGCAGTATGACCTCTGAAACGTTGATTAACATCGACCAGACTACACAGCGCAATTACCCAGAAGACAGAAATCTTCATCGCCCTGATGATGGAGGCAGTATGACCTCTGAAACGTTGATTAACATCGACCAGACTACACAGCGCAATTACCCAGAAGACAGAAATCTTCATCGCCCTGATGATGGAGGCAGTATGACCTCTGAAACGTTGATTAACATCGACCAGACTACACAGCGCAATTACCCAGAAGACAGAAATCTTCATCGCCCTGATGATGGAGGCAGTATGACCTCTGAAACGTTGATTAACATCGACCAGACTACACAGCGCAATTACCCAGAAGACAGAAATCTTCATCGCCCTGATGATGGAGGCAGTATGACCTCTGAAACGTTGATTAACATCGACCAGACTACACAGCGCAATTACCCAGAAGACAGAAATCTTCAGACTCACCGCTGTGAAAACCTCAAATCGTACACAACACACGATGTCTTTGTAAGCACTTCCACTAGCATCTTATGATTTTTTTTCACGCAAAATATGTATTTATAAAAAAAATTTGGTAGCAGTATAAATCCATGAACTGTATTTCCTCTTCTGAGAACCAGCCATTTTGATATCCTCTGACTGACTTTTAACAAATACGCAACAGCAAAGCAGCTCGCAACTCGACCGCTGCATTCCAGCTACTTTCCAACATGCCGGTCATTTACGGGAGTTGTAAACCAGTTGCTAGCTCTGAGATCCTCGAATTTGCGTTAGTTGAAGTTTACTTCAGTTCGTGATCATTTACCGGTCAAAATCGAATGCCAACTCGAATTAATCTAAACCCAGCTTTGCAGATGTAATCACTCCCTATGGCCTAGCTGTCAAAGACTCTAATTGTGGGTTCGAATCTCTCTCGTTGCAATGAACGTTTATGATTTGCTTCATTTTCCTGTGCAGGAGGAATTCTTGTATAGTTATTGGCTTACGAGGGGTCATACTGGTTGTTTTAAGGTTAAAATATTTATTGTAATAGAGTCTAGGTCTCAAATAGGACTTGCAGAAAGCCGATACTTTAGTCTGTGTAACATTTATACGAACAATATTATGCGGAGTAAAATTTCATCAGCAGAAAACATACTTAGATGCTTGTTCGTAACGAGAAAGCATTGCTAATTGACGGTTGTCAACATTTTGTACATTTTGAGACGTGTGGTCCGTCACCATAAGCTACGTACATTTATTTGGATCTAAACATATTTTATACGTGTTCGATGATATATATAGTCAGAGGAATGTTTTGTTCACCCAGATTCAACTCGGGCACACACCACATCTGTAGCAAGTTCATCACGAGCGAGACGGAATTGTATGGCACAGAAACACGTTTTCTGCAGGGTGATTCAGGGTAAGTGTGCCGAATTTCGTGGGTGTATTAATCAAGTGTTTTTGAGTAAGACGAAGTCTTCTTAATATGTATTAATCAATTCGGAAGGTTTGGAGAGTCATATCAGACGTAAGGGTGGTTATTGTTTAGTGTTCGTTGCATTTCTCAGTACTCCGCTGAAGTGGATGGCAGTGGTGTACTCACCGGTCTTGTTGACGCCTGCCCTGTTGGAACTATGCGTGCCGTTTACGCTTTATACCCATTATGAAAATGTTTATAAACTACTAATATTTTTGGACCGTCCTTGTAAGATTACAACGTGAAGAACGCGTTTTAGTTTGTGTCGTCGCAAGAATACGTAATTTCTACACCGAGTTATGTGCGTTGAGATATAAAAGCAACTTGTCGACTCGAAGAAGCCAGTGATCTCTTGTGCCTTACTTCATGGCGTTTGCTGTTTGTTTGTTTGGAATATTTGTGTTCTGTGTGAAGGTCATTGTCCTCCGCCAGAGAAAGGAACGCGTTGATTATGCTTTATATGACCTTGTCGCAGGTGCTACATGCATGTTCTACTTCTGGTACGTTTAACATCTCAGTCTGGTATTGGCGACTAGAAGGCACAAGGCACGTAGTTCTAAACCATTTTTTCCGCCATATTTCGGAAACTTGGACACCTCACAATCTTCCTGCGATATTTCTGTTTCGGGTAGTAAAATCCTTCGTACATTTCAGTGCTAGTCTCTGAATGATACACCGAACGAGTTAGCACAGCTCTCGTTCGGTTCGTAACCGTATCGACTTTTGTGTGATAACCGACAATTTTGACATAGGTGTTAACGCTGTGATTTCTGTCAGCCCGTGTGAGAGCCGACAGTGCCATGGATTGAAACCCATGATTGTTTCCCCGCTCATGTTCATTTACGTGTATTGGGGTTGGCGAAGATCTTTCTTACGGGGGTAAAGTGACCGGAACGTGAACCTGATCGCTTCCATGTGGTGCCAGTTTAAAAATGTATCAAATGCGCTGAACTGTAGTTGGATTTATCTGTACTTGTTAGCGTAAGAAAAATGAGGCCTACATTTAGTGTGTACATAATCCACTGCTTTACATTTCAATTATATGACATTTGCCATTCATAACCTCTTCTCACATTCATGCTGTTGTCATGTTTATCTTGCACATTTATTATCTACCCCCATAGAAAACAGGTAACTTAATTAGTTTTCACTGTCTGTTTATTGTCGGAAGATTAGCTAATTGTGCTCAATTAGTGATGAATTTTTAAAGATGTGGATGGAAGCAGTCGGCTCATAATCATGCATTTATCTTGAAGGACTGAGGAAAACCACAAAATGTCCGTAAAATTTTTCTTCATCAGTCAGTTGATCGAAAAAGAGCGACAGAATCAATGTGTCATCACGAAAAACACGAACCAAATTGCTCTCCGTGCATGATTGCGCACCAAAACCAACTTCGAAATTATACAATGGCACTTCATGAAGAGCATGAGGATTTTCTGTGCTTCAGTATCAGTTGCGTATTTTGGTTGTTTTTATAACAATTTGACGTGTACCCACGCCTCGTAAGAATAAAATGTACGTTCTGTCTTAAGAAGTCATTTGAATGACGATTACTGAAACCATCTGCAATGTCATACTCTGGCGGCCAGAGGATATAAGCGATTATTCTTTTGTGAAGCCGCAACTTAGAAACGTTTCACGAGTGTTGGTTGTACATTCTGCCAACAACTGCGTCTTCCCTTAGTCCCAATGCCATCAAGTTCTTCAGTTATTTATTCTGTCAAGAACACCGTACAAATGCATCGTATGGAAACAATTTCTCTTAAGCACTACGCGTAATTTTATATAACCGCGTTTAACAACACTGCGAACTGTATTTGTGCGTATCTCATGAACAACTAACTGAGCTAAGCAGGTAACTCCGTCGATGTGCCAGGAGGCACCGTCTCCAGAGTGGAGGTTTGACGACCAGCCGTCTGCTCATAAATTGGATTTCCTACAGTAGACAGTTAAAATGTACGAAAATGAGGTAGCCTGCAGTGGCTTATTCTTACCGATTTTTATGAAAATCCGTCCAATGATTCAGTTTTATGACACTGGCATGATAGTAACATAAATATGTCTCATAACGAGAGCTGGTGATCAAAACACGATCTCTATTTTTATATCGGGAGAGCACCAGACGATATTTAATTCTACGCCATCAGCGTTCTAATTTTTTTTTCCTCAATATTTTGAAGCTTAATTTGTTATTTATTGTCTGATCTTCCAGACCGCCTGCCACTGTTGTGGGTATGAGATATCTGCAAACTTTAGTTGCGACAAACGTACTTCTGTTCAGGCGCTGGCGTGACCTTGCCGCAAAGAAAAGGAAGGAGGCTCAGAAACAAATAACCATTATTAATTTATTTTAAAAAATGTAATTTTAATCTTTGACAAATTTTTCATTTTAATTTTGTGCCATCTTGTAATTTCTTAGTGAATTTAATAATAATGATGTAAATTGAGTTGATATTTACTCTCGTCTTTTTCATTTCTCCGTATTGTCCGACATTTTCGATTATCTCACCGTCCTTCGGCCATTTTTGGGTGTCTGCTGTATCAGCAGAGTAACTGTGGAGTTCCTAGAATCGTAACGTCACCCACACGCCATGTATGTAAATGACACAAGCGCATGACTTTTTTGTGTGGAAGGCCACTTAAGGATTGTTTTGGGTTGAAGACATTTATTGCATTCATATTGAATGCCTGCGTTATAAGACAGCGGCTTTTATTTCACAAAGTCTGCGAATATAAATATGTGAAGACGTCGAAACGGAGGTCTTGTTGGAGGTGCGGGGTTACGATATAGGGTGTATAACTAGCCGAGAACAAAATTTATCTCACTTACCGACTACCTATTAATTTTTTTTTTTCACATTTGCTGAACAAGGATATTTATTTCTAACTAAAATTCGATTTAGTGTCAATTTACAGAGAAATTTTAGGTGTTCCAGTGGCAGGTTCTAGGTAGCTGAACTTGGCTACGTTGTCCAAGGTCGTGTTTGTTTCTCGCTTTGGTTTCTTGGCTTGGGAATTGCGTAGGTTGCAAGGTAAAACATACCCCCACTGCCAACTGGCATTTCCTCTTCCACTATTATATCGGCCCTGTCTACGGGACTGGGCCACAAATATTCTCCCATGGCATGTCCGGCGTTATAGTGGTTGCATAGGGTGACCAAAAAGTAACGCTACATGTTACAATTGTCGAATTAATTATACTAAAATGATTAAGAAAAGGGTTATCACAAGTTCTGTAAATGTCCACCGAGTTCATAAATGCATTGCTCATGTTTGATGCAACCGGGTGTCACGGAAAT